TAAAGGAGGAAATGGGTAACTTCACCACAACGGAAATATTTTTGCCACTCTCAGCTATTCCAGAGATCTGTCACAAATTGTTAGCAAATGGAATCATAGTCGAATCCAAGGCAACTTTTCTTATGCTGGTGTAACTCCACTGTTTCAGTACTTAGTCCGGATTTACATCAGTCAGAGATCAGAATCAGGCTCAAATATTGGGAAAATTAGAACCAGACACACAGTGTTTCTGCACCTTTGAAAAACATGGTTTTCATTGTTGTAGAAAATTTGTATGATCATTTCAACAGAATTGTTATCCACCCAAAATAGGCTCAAAGCAGTACAACATGCTGCTGTTTGGTTTTGCTGTCATTAATGAAACAACCCCTCTTCCTTTTTTAGAGAGTAACAAGGCTGTTTTAATTGCACCCACAGTAAGAAATTAAAGTGAACACTGAAACTTCAATATTAGCTAGTTTCAGAATGGACTTTTCCTGCCTCTTTCAGCAAATGACTCTGCCTTGCTCCCAGACTTCCTGATTAGAGAAAGAACTATGTAAAGAGAATGACCTTTCGTCACATTCTGAAAGTGTGTGGATTCTGGATATGAAGACTGAATGTATTTTTAAATTAATGTTTAGTGTTTGAGAAAGCACCATTAGTCTGGCCTTAGAAACTAAAGTCATTTGTGCACAGAACAAATATGGCAACTCCAGGGTTACATTTAGACTACATGGCTCCGTCGACGGAGCCATGTATCTAGGGCTACATTTAGACTACTTGGCTCCGTCGACGGAGCCATGTAAAATAGTTTATTCGGCATAGTCAAAGAAGCAGGGATTTAAATAATCCCCGCTTCATTAAAATAAAAATGGCCGCTGCGTTGTGCTGATCGTCGGAACAGCGTGGCGGCCATTTTTATTTTAATGAAGCGGGGATTATTTAAATCCCCGCTTCTTTGACTATGCCAAATAAACTATTTTACATGGCTCTGTCGACGGAGCCATATAGTCTAGACTTACCCTAGTAGTACAAGCTTTCCCATTTGCAATGTAGCTCAGCACTACTTCCTGTTCAAGATTCTCCCAGCAATAGATTGTGTAGGAAAGAGAATAGAACATAGAATCTGAGACTGCAACATTTCTCTGTGAACAAGAATATCAACTATATATTAAAAAAACAAATACCCTTAGCATGGAAGAGAAAAAAACTAACTATAGTAAACTTCCGATAATCCGGCACCTTTAGGACCCAGGGGGTGCCGGATTATCAGAGATGCTGGATTATCGGAAGGGAGGGCTATAAGAGGGCTGGGGTGGAGTGGGGGAGATGCCCCCCCTGCCGCTGCGGGATCAACCCGGCAGCACCCCAGCTGCTCTGCCCCAGACTTCCCCAAGTCAGCCACTGCTGAAACTGACCAGCGGCTGACTCCAGGAAGCCCAGGGCAGAGCACCCTGGCTTTGCTCTGCCCCGGGCTTCCTGGAGTCAGCTGCTGGTCAGTTTCAGCAGTGGCTGAATCGGGGAAGCCGGGGGCAGAGCAGCTCCAATTGTCCGGCTGCCTGGAGCACTTCCAGGTTCCAGATGGTGCCAGACCATTAGGAGTTTTACTGTACTACTACAGCTGTCTATCTGATCTTACCCTCAAGAGTGACATCACATACTTCTCAAATCCAATGAAAATTACATTTTTAAATTTGTGTTTGGGTTGCAATATTCCCTCTTTATAGTATAAATTATACCCAAAGGATATTTTCCAGCGTCCTTATTATGCCTTTCCCAGAGCCTATTCATGAAATGGTTGGTGGCTTCTTTCTTATTTTGCATGTTGGCCTTGCTTTCCAAACCACTTGAGGTTTATTGCCATCTATTTTAGAACAAATTTTGCTTGCCATGCATTTTGAATGAGGTAGTTATCCATCACTACAAACAGATACCAGTTAAGCAATACCCATCAAAGGAGAACATGAAGCTTGAAAATTCTTGCTGCAATTTTCCCTGTGGTCAATTAGCAGTGAAACTCACATCCTTTCTGTCTCAAAAATCACTGTGCCTCCTCTGTGGAGACAAGAATCTCCAGCTTTCTGAAACAGAATGCTTCCTCCCCTTGTCCTGGATCAGCATAGCTCCACACCCTTACAAAAGGGCTGGGCTTTAAAGGGCCTGGCCCAGCTTTTAGCCATCCTGAGGTTTCCTTTTATAAGAACTTTTAGAAATACAGGCTTTAGGGATGTTAGCGTGTCGGTTACACAATTAACTGATAAGCCTGGGCTTATTGGTTGTTCCTAATGACTACAACCTCCCCTTTCCCCCGCTGCCTCTGTATCAGAGGCAGCAGGGGGAGGGTAGAAGGAGGAGCCTTTAAGCTGGATCCCTGCACATGCCGAATCCTGTGGAACTGCCTAACCACCCCCCCCCCACACCTCCCTCAGAAGCAGTAATGTGGCGGGGTAGGTGGGAACCAGTGCTTGGGAGGAGCCAGCTTAAAAGCACCAGTTCCCATGGAGCTGCCTCCCCCTCATCGCCATGCTGCTGCCTCTATCAGACGCATCAGCATGGGGAGGAGGGCAGGTGGGAGCTGGTGCTTGGGAGGAGCTAGCTTAAAAGTCGTGGTGTCAGTTTAGAGACACCCTTGCTTCTGATAAACCCTGCCCTTCTGCCATATCCCCCCTCCCCCCCACGTGTAAACATTAAAAAATTCCATGGTTACACATTTACAAAAATAAAAGTTTGCTAACATCCCTAATAAGATTGTATGTAGTCGGCAGCTGTCTCCTCACCCCTTCCCCCCGCCCCAAATAACTTGAAAGAACCTTAGAGAAGGTGGTGCAACACCATTGTATTCAGGGAACCTATGATAATTTATACCAGCTAAGGAGCCTGACCCAAGGTTTGCAGCACATTAAGATAATCATGTTACTCATGTTATTGTTGTTCTCAAACTGTGGATCCCGACCTCCCCGGGGGTTGCGAGCAACTTAGAGGGGAGTCACGGTATCACAAAGTTTGAGAACCCCCTACTCTACAGGTTGGATCTCCCTGGTTACGGAATCCTCATGAACGTGGGAGTTTGCTGTATTATGGGAGGTCTATTCTAGCCCCTTTGCTACTGGCCTCCAGGCTCTCCTGAGGATGCCACCAGCATCATGGGTGGGCTCTCTTGCAGGAGCCAGCCCTGCTGCTGACCCTGGCCAGGATCCCTGCCCCTAGCTGCTGGACTGGCTCTGCTCCCAGCCCTGGCTGGGCTCCTGGCTCCAGCTCTGCTCATGACCGCCAGACCAGCTCTGCTACTGGCCCACACGACTGGGCTCCAATTCTGGACCAGCACTATTTCTGGCTCCCAGCTGTCAGACTCCCAACCAGCCTCGCTTCCAGACACTGGGGCTCTCTGCTCCAGCAACATCTGCGGTCCGCCAGAGAGTCCAAGACCAGAAAAGTTCAACTTGTATTTGGCATCAAGGTCTCCTGGGATTTCAATAGTACAGAAACCCTCATTGTTTCCGAGTATTTGTTGAGTAAATCTGTCCTTTAAAGAGATAAGAATAAGTCTCTAATTATTCCATGTTAAAAATAAATTAAAACATTCAAAATTCTTCTGAAGCACACCCCCTAAAGCTTTGTCAAGAGAATTCTTGTTGTATTTGATAAACAGATTGCAGTCCATTTCAGCGATGTTAATATTTTTTACAGTTAGTAGGAAAATCTTGGTATTGGGATTAATGTTTTGAAAAAGTGGTGAATAAACACATATAGCAGAAATGATCATTCTGAATAAGAACTACTGTTTTAGAAGAGGGAGAGACACCTACAAAGTTTAAGTGTAAATGTGTGCATGTTAACAGCTTACAGTTGTAACTGTGCCTTGCTTGAATGTATTGTTATACAGACCTATGAAAATGGAACAAGGCTGATGAATGATACATCGATCATGGGATCCTTGGATTAGTATGCCCAGAGAAGGGGAAAAGTAGAAATATTTTACTTTTTATTCAGTTAAACTAAATAAAAAACAGAAGAAGCACAAGTTACCCATACCACATAATTGCCACTCATAAGCAGTGGAGGAAAAAATTAAAACCCTGGACGGAATCCTGCAGTCCTTAATCACGCAGAACACCTTTTCAACTCATGGGAATGTCTTCTCTGTAAAGAGTGAGGGTAAAGCCCTATTGAAATCAATGCCAGTTTGCCATTGACTTTAATAAGGCCAGGATTCTATGCAAAGACCTGAGTATTCTCCCCGCCTCCTTCATATGTATAAAGAAACATAACAAATATTGAACAAGCCAGAAACAGACACACACACTATTTATTAATCCAGGGAGAAGAGCAGTTGTTTTTCTGAATAAGGTAAATATTCAGTCACAGGTTCTGTTCTTAGTTTAACATCTGATGCATCTTATATCCACAAGATCTATCCTTCCCTTGCAGGATGATAATTCAGTCTTTGGATATCATCAACAAAGATATGAGTTGAGATAGGATAAAGCATATTAAAGTCTAAATTTTCAAAATCAACTGCTTGAGATGCACACTTCTGAATTTTTGGGGTGTACAATTTGAGATACCAAATTGAGAGACCTGATTTTTCAAAAAGTTTTCAGCTCACTGAAAATAAGGCCCCTGTAAGATGTAGCAAGTTGAGACACCATCCAAATTCACTAGTCATAGTTTACAATTTAGTCCTAGCTGTACATTTGTCTTTAGGGTTGCCAAGTGTTCGGTTTTGAACTGGACAGTCCAATATTTGAGCTTTCTTCTTGGGAAACAAATTGAGAAAATATAAATGTCTGGTATTTTCTAAATAAGATATAATGTAGATTGTGATGTAATGTCAAGTGTGTCCGGTATTTTTGTTGAAACCATCTAGCAACCTTATTTGTCTTTGGGTAAAGCTTCTAAGTTACAGAGAATATGTATCCCCAGGACAGAGTTTGGGGGAAGGTAGGAAGAGAAGAGGAAATGTGTGTCTCTCTTGTGCATTGTCTTTCTATGATTATTAATTTTGTTCTTATTTATAGTACTTGGAGGAACTTGCATTGGGTAAAAGGCATTCTTGAGCTGAAGATTTTGTAAGAGTCATCAAAATGTGGAATGCTGTGGCTAAAAACCTATTCAGGACCAAAGTCTACCAAGACTATTCACACATGCTGCTGCTAGTGAAAAAGGACAGGAGTATTCTTACTAGACTGCCTTCCTCTAGGAATTGTTGGCAGCATACCGCTGGAGCAGTTCAGCCTTTCAACATGAGTGCGAGTATCAAGAAGGTGGAAACTTTGGACGTGAATAATTTTGTCTGCATTCACTGGGGAGATGGGAGTAAGAGCCTTTACCCTGCTGTATGGCTAAGAGACAACTGCCAGTGCCCTAACTGCTTCCTGCATTCTGCTAAAGCACGCAAACTGCTTTTGGAAGACCTGGATGTTACCATCGCAGTGAAGGAGGTCACTTTGACAGATACGCAAAAGGTATTTTTTTAAATGTTGCTTTCATATGATGTTTGCATACTGCTTCTTGCCAATCTGTTTGTTAGCCTACAGTACACAGAGAAGACTGCAGCTCGAATATTAGTGTATGCCATAAACATGGGTCCACAAAACATACTGTGCGTTTTCAGGATTTCTAAATGTAGTTGTCATTTGAGGAATCCAAGTCCTTTCATTTATGTCATTCTTATGGTAAAATCCCCTTCGGAAATGTTAAGCATTTGATATAGGAACCCCCAAAACAATTTTCTTCAACTTTAGAGAGAAGGGACATTCTTACCACAATGGTTTGAGGATAAAATTGTAGACTCTTAACACCTCAGTCTTCTACTCCTTCAAACTTCTTTTCCTGTGTGTATAACTCCATACCCTACAGACTCCTTTTCCCACTGAGGCTCCTTTATGGAGTAAGGATAGTATGTCTCCCCCACAAAGAAAGTGACTGTCTTTATTCTTGCCAAGACCTCTGTTTGTAATTTTATAATAAAGCAGAGTCCTCAAAGGCCATGGCAGGAAAATTCTTTAATTAGTTTTTTAAAGAATATTTTTAAAACTTATTTGACCACCTGACATTTATACATTTGGAGAGAGAACCATCCTTTGGATCATATCTGCCCTTCGTCTCCACTGTGAAACCTCAGTGAAATCAGTGAGATTGCGCAGGTGCAATTAAGTGCAGGACTTGACCCTTTATCTTCTTGCCTGGCAAAATGTGAAGGTTATAAAACAGATACAGGCAGTCCCCGGGTTACGTACAAGATAGGGACTGTAGGTTTGTTCTTAAGTTGAATTTGTGTGTAAGTCGGAACTGGCTTCCAGATTCAACCGCTGCTGAAACTGACCAGCGGCTGACTACAGGAACCCCGAGGCAGAGTTGCTCTGCCCTGGGCTGCCTGGAATCAGCCGCTGATCAGTTTCAACAGCAGCTGAAACTT